GATTTTTAATTTATTTTTAGGTTAAATCTATATATTTAAATTCCCTTTGTTTTGCTTGTGTATGCTACAGTTAAACATGACACACTGTATGTGAATTACCTGAACAAACTGTAGCAGCTGTAGTGAAACTCACCTGAATATTTGCACACGTTTCTTTAATAAATTTGATACACCAAAAGGAGCTGGCACTGCCTCGTGTCAGCCAGCTCTTAGTTCTGCCTGAATACTAATCACCTGCTGATGATGCCTTTGATTTGAGAATCTTTCTCCAGCTGCTGCTGCTTCAGGCGGCGCTCACTGTCTTCCAGCCGGTTCTGGTACTGCTGCAGGATCTTACTCGTCTGCTGCTCCTGGGACAGGAGCCGCTGCTCGTATTCCTCCAGTTTGCGGTGGGACATCTTCAGTCGCTCTTTCAAAGAGTGGATTTCCTCTTCGTATTCTCGTACCTGTGAGGTGAAGGGCACATCGCTTTGCTCGTCAGATTTACCCTGCTGTTAGCTTGTCGTAAGAYGTCAGCTGGTATGTTTTGTAAGGATGAATAAAAAAAAGATGCTGACCCTGTCTAGTCGCGACTCATCCATGCTCTTGGAGTACTCTTTGAGCTGGCCCTCGCGGTCCGGCCGCAGGCTCTCGATGTCGGCAGAAAGGTGCGGCATGTTGGACACCCAGGCCACCGTCCGCTCATTCATGTTCCCCTGAAACAACAAACAGGAGTCATGGTTTTATTTATTAGTCAAACTAATTGTTTTGTTTTGTTTTTTTTGTTGTTACATTTTGTTTTGTTTTGTTTTGTTTAGTAACAAGTAGATTCAAGATGGCCACCACTGTTTATCAATATTTGCAAAAAATAATCTAGATATAATTCGGTCAGTTTTTCACATTAAGCTAAAATTTTATGTTAGAAGCAGAAAGTCAGCTTTTACACAAACTCTGAGCATTAAGATGTTTGTTTAAAACCTATAAGACATGACAGGTGATATGCATTCTTTMAAAAAACACTAGTTTGATTCATTTTTCTCTGCAGTTATAACYTTGAGCAGCAGATTAGTTTGATTCACCTGTTTGTTGGCAACCGGTTTGAGCAGATGCTGCTGCGGCGGCTGCAGTTGGGCCTGTTGAGATTTCTTGCTGCTCTTTGTGGGCGTGTCTGTAGACTCGTCCACCGCTGCTGCTGGAACCTGGTTCTCCTTGGCCGAGCTGGTCTGGAAGGGAAGCCCRGGAGCCGAAATGTCCGTCTGCGCGTCCTGTTGCGTCTGCGGCTGCTGCTGCTGCGGCGGTTGTTGCGGGGTTGTTTGTTTATTCTGGCGCGACTTGGGCTGACTGCCACTGAAGCTGGGGTCAGAGGAGTTGAGGAGGAGGTTTCTGCTCTGAGGACGAACTTTCGGGGGCGTGGCCGTGGCTGGGTTGTTGATGGACCGCTGCGACTTGAGATGCTGCGCGGCGATGGACGTCTGGCGGACGGGGTGGACGGTAGTTGGAGGCGTGGCCAAGGATGCTGGCGTCCCTGTGCCAGTACCGGTCTGAGATGTGACTCCCATAAGCTGCTGCTGCTGGAGAGACTCCTGGAATAAAAAAAAGACAAATTAAAGGAAAATAAAAAATGTGTCTTAAATGTGCAAACAAAAACAAAACATGAACAGTTTTTTTTTTTTATATTTGCACAAACAGGATCAGGCTTAAAGCACTTCAAACACATWTTATTYTAAAAACTTTRCCTATGTTTACAAATATTATTATTTTTTACTTCACAAATTTGTTTATTTTCTTGCATTGAAACATATTTTTAAAAAGCATTGATTCAAAATCTATTCTTATATTGACCTGAATAAACACAAAAATTTGGTGGGCTTGTTGATGGGCCGGATGGAAGTCACCTGCAGGCYGGATGTGGCCCGCAGGGCATCAGTTGAATAACCCTGTGTTACACTATTTACAAAGATTTTATAGTTATTTTGTAYATAATATCTATATTTTATACAATATAGGTATTTTTATTTTTACTGGATGGATTGATAATTAATTCTTAATGTGCTGTTCTGAATACACCATCTGTAAAAAGAAGCAGGTGGCTCATGTTTGTTCCATTAAAGCTTACGCAGTCAGACATTAATCGCTCCAGACCACATGACAGTTTCAATAAACCCTATAATTTTACAGCAACGCCTCATAGAAACTTRTCTGTGCAATGGATCAGGAGCCTCCGTGTAAAGCATCAAACCACAGGCACAAAGTTCGCTGCATGTTGTTTAATTTAGGCCGGCGTCACAAAACACAAGCTCCTGACACGTTCATTAAAGATGAAATTGCTTCAGRTGTGTTTCTGAAACGAGAGGCGTTTGTTTCTTGTTTGAGTTTGCTCTTCAAGGCAGACGCTGCACCAGACCCSGTGGACACACACGGTTAAGAAAGATAATGATAACGTGTAGCATCAGCGGCTCTGACACTTCGATCTGCCCTATTGGCCGACAGCTAATGACCAGCACTGTTGAAACGAGGACGCKCAGCATGACGGCTGTGAAGCACTCTGCAAAGTTCAGCAGAGCAGGCGGGCGAGTTATCCGGCTCGTCTGCAGCATCACAAGTACCTCCACAGTACAGTTGCAKTAGCATATTATGCTGCTCAGCCCAAGGCCTTTTATTAGACATTTCACAGGTTTCCAATGGATTTCAGACACTTAGTCAGGGTGTTGAAAAAAATCACACAATGCACGATGAAGATTAAAAATTGTTGGGTAATTTGTTTTGGAACAGAACCAGGAAAAAATGGTTTGAATTTTTTTAAAAGGTTCACCAATTCACTGGCAAATGACAGAGTTAGATAAAATTAAGCTTAACCACCTCCTAGACTAAGACTCAATTTCCTGATTTTAAAGGGGTGTCAGTGAATGCACCTTTGCTAATTTAAGCGACTAATTTACGAAAGCAACAAGTCTTTAATATGGAATGTTTTACTAGCTCTGTAGTGCTCCTTATTTGTTTAAACCTCAACATCACCTGTTCAAATCAACCCTGTTTGTCTGTTTGCAAAATATCTCGCATGACAGATTTTAATGAAACATTCAGAAAAAAATAAAATAAAATATTGTTGGTACATCTACAAATTATTGATTTTCGGAGTCAGTCCTATTCAAGGTGGTCTCCACAGCTCATCCACATTAGCCAACACAAAAACAGCTTTAACTCAGTCAGTTCTACAGATATTGAGCTAAAATTTGAATGTGGTAGCTGACTTTTCATAATATTGTATGATATTGTACATAAAGGTTTTTTAGAGTTTGTTTAACACAAATCCAACTCCATCATCTCTCAGATGTTGATGCATTTCCTCACCTTTATGTCTGACTGTATTCATGATTCATTATACAAAGTCTGCATGTCATTAAATCAAAGCTTTCTCAAAGTGTGAGGATGAATGCGAGTTTCCTACCTGCACCTGCAGTGACAGCTGGTGCCAGGCGAAGTCGTTACTCTGATTCTGCCGGGTGAAGTCATCGCTGTAGCTGTGTGAGTGGACGATGCTGGGCTGCACCAGGCTGCTCTGTGACTGCAGGGCCGACAGGTCCTCGCTGCGGGAGAACACGCTGTTGCCAAAGGCCGGCGCGTAGTCGGGGTGGCCGTTCTCGTGCTCGGGGGTGAGGAGAAGGGGCGGCGGAGGAGCAGGCTGGGACTGAGCCGGCGAGTTCTGAGCGGCCAGATGGAAAAGCGGGTTTTGGAAAGACAAGGGGAAGTTCATCGCTGCCGCCGCCTGCTGCTGCTGCTGGGACAGGGATTCTGTGGGACCCCCTACGTGGCCCATCTGGCTCAGTCTCAGACCGGAGCCCGAGGAACCTGGCGGCAAGTGGCCTCCCATACGCAGCGGACCGCCCAGGTTCCCAAAGCTGTGACCGAGACCGGCGATGGAWGCTTGAGAGGAGGCGAGCATGTCTCCCACCGAGTTCAGGTTGGAGATGCTGTTCATACGAGAGTCCTGAAGGTCCATCATGGACACACTTTTGTTTACACTGTGGACCTGGAGGACACAAAAAAGTTTATTATAGTGCAACTTTAAATATAACATGAAGAAAATTCTAATTATTTGACACAAACTGTCCAACAACTACAAATAAACTTAATTTCTTGAGCAGATTACAAGCTAGCTTTAGCTCAGAGCAGCTAAAGTGAGTTGCTGTTGTCTCAAAACAATGCTATTATTTTAACTTTTACATTGCCATCAGTTTCACATTACTTGGTTATTCCAGCAGAAATGTTAAACTTCTGTTAAAAGTGCCYCCAGGCTGTACCTGAAGTGATACTGCTAATTGGTGCTGCAACTATTTGCAACTGGAAAAAAATAAAATAAAAAAAACATTAAATTCCACTTAAAACACTGGAAAACTGCCAGAAATAACATAAGGTTAAAATATTTTGCATGAACTGCAAAAAAAAATGTTTGAGGTTGAATTTGTTTTAAAATGGCAGCAACAAATTTTAATCCTGGTTCCATTTATTTTAGCTTGTTAATCTGTTCAGAACTGAACTCTGTTTTCTCTAAACTTAGTGTTTAAAAAGATGTCTACGACAGGTAAGATGTTAATTATTCCCAACCTTTTTTACCCTTTTTTTAAAGTGAGCTGCTCTGTGATCGTTTATATTATTTTGTATCATTTTATCAGAAATAAAATGTTTATGGTTTCCTTAATTTAGCACCCAAAGCTTTGACCATCTGAGTCATTACACATTAGATGGCAACAGATTTATGTTCACATCATCCAGAACTAATAATGGATCATGATTATTCAGGGCTGATCTTGTCCCTCGTGACTACAAATTTCATGATAAAAAATTACTTTAAAATGGTTAAATTACTTGCCCACACCAGTCTTCTACAGAATTATAGACCTTTGACAATTAACCTCATTAGTTGTGAGATGTTGCACCACCCTTTTTTATCACATCACACAAAAAGAATAGTTTTGATGCCTCTGTTGCATATTCTATAAAACATGTTGCTAGCACCAAATTGAAACTGAGCAAATAATCAACATATGTATAAAAGTGTTAATTTCAGTATTTGAGAGGYGGAATTCCAATGAGACATATTGCATTCAGTTTTAACTTGAATTGTAGAGTCAGCAGAATAATAATGACTTTATTTGTCAATTGACTCAAGTACAACAAAATTGCAGACAAATTTTATACAAATGTATCCCTTGTGTTCATGCTATTAWTCTTTCATTGTGCTCTAAGTTTCAACAGTCTACCTTTGGATCAGGCTCTGTGATGTCAGAGCTGCTCGTGCAGTACGCAGGGCTGGATCGAGCCAGCGGTGGGCGGGTGACGTAGAACACCTCCCTCGTCGTGCGGAGGTCCCGYTCAGCCTGGCGCCTCATGTTCAGGTTGGAGGAGAGGGATTCTACAGCCGAGACYCCGGTCGTGGGAGACGGAAGGCGGGAGATGTCTATGGAGCTACAAGTCAGACAAAGCTGTTTTTACTAAAAGCTTGTTGATGTTTTTGCGCTTCATGTTCAGCATTTGTGATTTCCCACCCTTCATGAACAACACGTGTTTAATTATGCATGATGAAGCACGTGAAAATAAAAATAATAAAAAAACCAAGCAGGAGACAGGATTCTAGAGTGACACTTCAGGGCCCGGTGACAGCAGGTGTGTCACTCATCATGTTGGCTCGCCTTTCCCCAGYGTTTGATCTCTGCCCTCCTGAAACCCTCTGACAGCAGATTTGTGTCACTCTGACTGAACGACAACCTCTCTCTGATGTCAACGCCGCTATTCATCTTCCTTAAAAAGTTCTTATTTAAACAAGCTTTAGAGCCGTAACTGTCTCTCAACAATCCTGGAGTGTTGACGTGGATTAAAGCAAGGTGGGAGAAGGTTTGCRTGAGAGTGTTTGGGCAAACAGATGGTGCTGGCAATTAGTGATTGATAAACTGCTTTGAAAGCTTGATGAGGTGCATTAGCATTACGAGGTTTTAGAAACACACGGTTGTTGTTTTGAGCTACTGAACTCTCCCTCATTGTGTCTTTTTTTGTGAATTCTGAGTCAGCTTTCATATTGTTGTTTTGTTTTTCAATTCATTTTTTGCAATTGAACTGCTTCTGCAGCGTTCGTATATGAAAACATTCACCTCATTTAAGTGATGGGTACTGTGACCTTTGGTTTTTATACACTCTAAAAATGAAATGTTGGATTTACTCAACCATGTTATGTTACCTGGTTCCACTTAACTGAGTTGAGTAAATTCAAAGCAACACACTCATGTTCTTTGGCTAAAAAAACTGGTATATTGCTTTGAATTTACTCAACTCAGTTAAGTGGAACCAGGTAGCATAACATGGTTAAGTAAATCCAACATTTCATTTTTTACAGTGTAGACTTTCTACTTTTCAAAACACGTATTTAACTTCATTTACAAGTATTTCCCCCTTAGAAATACATAAAGATYTATTCAATTCCTTCAAAAACAGTGTTGTGACTCTGTTTTCATCTTCTTGAGTTATTTTTAGTTTTTAGCTAGCCTTTTGGTACTTTTAGCTATAGTTCTGCTATTTATACCTTGCTTTTAGCCTTTTGCTTAATTTAGCTTTTAGACAGCCTTCTTTACTTAAAAAATTAGGGTTTTGCTTGTTCATGTTTTAGCAAGCATTTTGCTACTTTTGGCCTTTAGCTCCAGAGGCAGATCCAGAGGGGTGGTTGAGGTGGCAAATGCCATTCCTGGCACCTGATTGGCCACCCCAGGTGCCACCCCCAAATGATTGACAGGTAGGGTGGAGAATTGCATGTGACATTTCAAAAATGAGCAATTATTGTAAAAAAGGAGTAAACGTCTGTCAAACAGTTGTGTTGTCTGATATAGAGGGAACGTATCAGTGTGACGAAAAAAACAAAAACTTTTCTGAACAACTGAATTTTAAAAAAGCAACAATTATCTATAATAGGTCAGAGAATAAGAACCAGGTAAAAAATGGTGACATATTGGTCAATCTGTAACAGCAATGATATGGAGCAACTAGAAAAATCCCTCAAGAAACTTTGACGGGTAATGTCATGTGGTCACCATTTTGAATTTAAGATTTGAMTGTATGTTGGTGACTGCAGCTTCCACCAAACCAAATTTCACCTCATCATGCTAAAAAACTGCTGCGTTATATTCATTCAAATTTAGCTTTGGTGGCCTTCTTGGACTCTGCATTCAGATTTTGTTAAAGATTGTTCTAGGCTACTACTATGTAAAATTTCAGCTGTGTATGTTTGAAAATGGCTAAATTAAAGCCGTTTCTAAAATCAGCATTAGCACCAACAGTYAGCTTAAACTGAGATTAGCAACCAGCATGTGTTTGAGATCATACGTAGCTACACCACAAAAAATTTCAGTTTGTTAAGTCTTAAAATAGCTGAGTTTTAGCCATTTAAATTTAACTGTGGAGGCCATCTTCAATTTTTATTAGCATTTAGGATTTGGTGAAGATTATTTTTTGGCTACTACTAAATGGCAGAATTGTAGCTCTTTGTAAAATTAGCATTAAATGTAAGCTTGAAATTGTGACTAGCATTCATTTTGGATCGTTCTTAGCTGTGATCACACAAATTTTTAGCTCAATATTTTTTAAAATTGCTGAATTAGAGTAATTTAAAATTAGCTGTGGTGGCCATCTTGAATTTCAAAATCAGAGTAGTTTTTTAATTATTATTATTGTTTCTATGTGCCAGCCTACACCTTGGCCACCTCTGTGCCCCCCACCCMCTTGCAAAAATGTCTAGCTCTGTCCCTGCTTTGGTGATTTTCAACTTTAGGCTAATGTTTTGTTTATTTTAGCTATTAACCAGTGTGTTGCTACTTTTGGCATTTAGCTACAGTTCTGTTTCTTTTAGCTTTAACAAAACTGTTTCAGCTTCTTTTTATCAGCACCCGTCAATCACACTGCATTTCCACAGAAACCAATTTCCTTAAGTTTCTTTCTATTTCTTTAGTTCCAATTGAAAACTTCCTTAAATGCTGTGAATCCTGTCTTTATGCRGCATAGGTGCACATTTGCTTTTGTGGCTATGCACAGTGTCTTTATAGAACTACAGCAGGGGCCATTCCTGCTGGTTCTTTGTTCTATTCAGGGACCTGCAAACACGGTTTCAAGCCCTCACAGGATGGTTAGCAGCATAAAAGGAGGTTAGCAGCACCAGGGAATCATACCTGTTTAAATCACGCATCATAAGGCTTTGGAAGTCAGAGGACATGAGGCGATTGAAAGATGGGCGAGAGAAGAGTCGGTCCTTTGGTCTGTCCGGCTGGTGGTTTGTTGGCATGTGGAGCTGCGGGTTCCTCAGGGCGACACTRATGTCATTCAGGAGCCGAGGCAGGGGTCCGAGTTTGAGAATGGCATCCTGCAGAATCAAAATCATGATCATACAAAGTGTTTCTTTAACTGTCATTTTTATATATTATGCAAAAACAATAATAGGAAACATTGAGTAGATGTGAAAAAGATGAAGGATTGGCATTTTGTTAAGATTGYAAAGATACATTCAATGAATAGTAACATTCAACACACTGAAACGGCTATAATAAAGTTTCAGCCACTTAAAAGTCTAGTTATTCTTATTGCAAATAACCTTGGAATATTTGTTAGTTTTTATGGTGTTTGTAGTATAGATTCATATATTTGTCCTTACAAGTTAAGAAACAGTCTGTAGTAAAAAGAAAGTCATTAATCTGACGGTGTTTATCTGCTCACCTTACTTAGCTGACCCATGACTTCCCACAGCAAACTGTGAAGCATGGACAATTCTCTGCCCAGGTCGATGTAGCCCTCAAATCCTCCAGCGTTTCCTCCCGTGTCCATGTTGGAAATCTCATACAGGAACTGCTGCATGGAGCCCCACTCCATCTCCAGGAACTCGTTCATGAAATACATGTATTCTTCCTTGGGTCCAAATCTGAAAAATAAATAAATAAAAAACAATTATTACAAGAAGGGTGAAGACAAATAAGAAAAATGAAAAGAAAATGGAACAAAACCACATGCTGTATTTTCATTGCCAATATTAAACCTGATACTTATGCTGGCTGTTTGCCGTGTCACCATRATTTACCTAAATAACAATAATAAATTATGTATATTGTGAAAACAGGAAGCAAAAATATTMCATAGAGAGCCTTCCACCAAGACAGACAAAAGCTAAAAAGGTCACATATTAAATCATTTGTGAACTAATTCATTATCACAAATAAAAAACAACATTGTTTTGGTGATTACATTAGTTACCTGTAAAACACTGGGCTCTTTGGATGAGTTGGCCTGCTGCCATACTGGCAGTAGGTTAAGATGCCCACATAGCACTTAGCAATATGGCGGGACAAATTCTCACCTTGTAAGCAAACACTGACTTCTTTATTGTGAATAATTTCTTTATAAAAATCACATTCCATCACAAGATATTTAATAGAATGTGTCACATCATTGTACTTCATCAAAAGTTTTCAAACCAAGTTGGATAAATTTGCACTACAAACTTTAGATCCCTGAATCATAGGTGCCTAATAAGCCAGAAGAGTTTGTTGGAGTATTAATAAACATGTCAGCGAAGAGTTCAGAGTGAAAGCACAGAATGTGTCATAGCAGTGAGGCTCAGCGCTCACTGCGAGTGTGTGTGTGTGTGTGTGTGTGTGTGTGTGTGTGTGTGTGTGTGTGTGTGTGTGTGTGT